ATGATTACCGGTTTTTTGCATGAAGTCCGGTCGTTTTTTCGGTAAATGCTCGCTTTGTGAAAAAATAATAAATGCAAATTTTTTGAAAAAATGCAAATTTCCAGTTCACTAAAAGTGGAAGCAATGCTCGAGCGGTCGTTTGTCAAAAAATGCATGTTCCTTACATATACAACTGCGGTTAAGGTCCGAGCTGCGAACGAATTTTTTGAAAATATGCAAATTTTCAGTTCACTAAAAAATTGAAAGTATTGCTCGAACGGTCGTTTCTCAAGGAATCTATGTTCATTTGCGTATACGACTGCGGTTCTGGTCCGAGTTGCTAACGACTTTTGGGTTCAGGAGCTGCTTGAGGCTGTGTTTGGGAGCTAGAAAGCTGTGTTTAAAATTTCTATCTCGCACGTGCAGCTTTCTACGTTGCTTGGTTCGCGAAATCGTTTCTCGCCAACAAATTTCTTTGGGAGTCCCGTACGCAGGGTCTAGGCGCTTATGAAGGATGACCTTAAAACGGGAGGATGACACACGAGGGAGGAACACACGTCCAAAGTTTCAGCCTCCCAGCTTTTCTGGCTGCTGAGATGAAAGTGGGCAACAAAATGCATTCGCTTTCTGAACAGACACACACAAACAGGCTCTCGACAATATGCGTTTTTGCTGGCTGTAGTAGCGCTATAGTGCTAAAGTTCTGCACAGCAAAGACGCATAAAAACGAATTTAGATTCAGAATGAATGCAACCTGAAATTCATGCAGAGCCGCAAATTTAACAACATTGAGGCCATTTGGCGTCAAAAGATCCGGTTTCCGATGTATCAAGTGCTCTGCTTCTACACCCGTTATTTCACTGACCGTAGTAAAAACATGTGACATATGACAAGCCGCTCGTTCCATACAGCACTGGTGATAAATCTGCAATGAATGGACCAAAATTCATTGAAATTTCCAAAGAACTAATGGAAATAAACTTAGAACTTGGAACTGCAAATAAAAAATTTTGAAGAGACCCCGCCAGGGGATTCGATGACAATTCAAAACACAGATTCAATTATTTTAGCGAGAGCGCTTTTGTGGCCGCTTTTCTTAGATGCTTTTGTTTTTAAAGTGGTGAATTATTATAAGTTTCCGCAGTAGCTTCACTGTTTCCGTGAAAATTTATTGTTATGTTAAAGGAATATTGAATTGTTAGCATCACAACAAAGATTCTGGGTAAAATTTTGACGTATCTGGAACATATGGTATTAGAGAAGATTAAGAGCACACATGGACTGAAAGTATGTTTGAACAGAATTACGAAACAACAAAAAACCTTTAAATGTGATAAAAACTGCAATAAATCATGGAGAATTCTCGGGGATTACTAGTGAAGACTTGCCTTTCTTTTGCCAGCCTCCTCATCGAGATTAAATTTATGCATGGAGTTGTAAAGATCGTTACCACCGGCTGCTAGATGTCGTCCAAGTAATGTTGCGTGCGTTGTGTACACCAGCGCAACATCCAAACCCCATAGCTTTGCCATTACAAGCCCAATGCCTAAAAGTGTATAAATAGCTGCTTGCAGTAAATATGCGAGCGATCATGTGCATTTGTATCTTTGAAAGCAGTGTCACGTAAGGAACAGCCAAAAAGAATTACGTATTTTTCCTTGAAGTTATGCACCTTTTTTATTCTAAGAAATATTGCAACTATCCTGAAAATCAAACCAACTAATGCTTTTCTTTAGCACATTTCGCATCTTATTTTTTGGATAAAACCTGACGTGCTGCCCTCTCATATTTACAAGCTGTTTATGGGGATTATAACCAGCCGATCAGCAAGACTTTTCGACTATGACTATCTGCCAAAATATGCAAAAGGATATTAACATTTCCTCTTTCAATAAATATAAAATTAGGCCAGAAAATTAATATTTCGAAAACGAAAATAGTTATAGGTGTTGGCATGTGTTCGTCAGTGTCTCTGGTACAGTGAAGAAGTTAACAGTAACGTCTATCTTGCCCATGAAGTGAATACGCGAATTATGATCACAAATAAAAGCAAGAAGCAACATTTGGCTGTGACGATAGCAGCACTGGAACGAAAAATGCACGGATGTGAGCGGGAGAACAAAAAATATACAGATTCGACGAATGCTACACTCGTTGAATGTTACACTCGTTTCTGATCCCACCATTTCACTGCCACACATATGCTTATCTGACTC